CAACCCTGTATGATCTCATCCTATCAGTTCTCCTTTCATCTTTTCTCCTCTGAGCAGATCTCATCTTGTCTGTTTTCTCACTCATTCTATTTCAAGTTATCTCATCTCACCTCATCTCATGTTGAAACCCATATCATGACACCGCCCTCGAGTGACTCATAGAGATAACTCCGATTCCAAACAACAAAAGAAACCTTCAACCGACACGAAGACGGCCATTTTTCAAGGTGGAATTTAAAATGATACAGTAAACACCAGTAAACAATCTCCAATTTGCATATGCCTTCCTGGGGGAATGGATTTCAATAGCCCCCAAAGCATCCCAAAGCTAATTTATATAATTATGGCATTGCAGCTCCCACGTGCAAGAAAGAAAAGCCCATTCCAAGTTTGCCACTAGTGCATTCTAGTTACAAGGCACTTGGGTTCGGTCTTCGTCTTCACCCACTGAAACACATATTTCCGCCGCATTACTTCCGCAAGCCAAGCGCAATATGTTCTTTTCAAACGTCCACGGCGCAAGGCTTAGGGTTCCTGCCCATTATGGGTCGAACGTTACCCACCCTGCTGTCTCAACTTTTGGAGTCGAAGTTGCAGGTGGATTCCAAGACTTTGGGAACCATGGGGTTACCCCACCAGATTTCATTTTTGGTTTGTCAATGGTCATGGTAGATTGTGTGAAATATATATATATATATTGCTTGATTAGGGTTTAACGATTGAGAATATTGCTTGATGTTTTTCGTGCCAGGCAAGGAGCTTCTGACAAACCGGAATCCACCGACCACTTTCATGATAGGATCTGAGTTCCTTTCCAACATACCATGATGGCTGTCATGGGAAGGTTGAGGACCAAATTGATAAAGAACTTAGGATGCGTCCAATTCTTTGGACAGGCACCCTACATTCAACGTGGAACCCAAGAATCGGCTTCGGGACCTTTACGGTCCGGGACCTTTACTTTTCATAAATAACAAACCCCCCCTCCCCAGACCCCCCCCCAAATATATAACCCTGAAATAACATGGAAATAAGAAAATAACCTGGAAATAACCTGCAAATAACCTGGAAATAAAAATAACCTGGAAATAACCTGGAAATAACCCTTAATTAAGGGTTATTTCCAGACTACAGTCTTTATATCTTTTCCCATCAGATCATGTTGACGCTGTCAGCTCAGTCAGCAGGTTTTATTTCAGGTTGTCATACTGTTTGCATCTTTCCCAATCATGTTGATGTTGACACCGTTAGTCAGTGAAATGGCTCAGCATGGCGAACTAGTTTCCCTTCCCATTTGAAGAGGGTGGCAGGACGGAACAAGAAATCAACAGAATCTACCATTTTTGTTTGCAACATGCATATTATATGTTGTGGGCTGTTGGCCGTGAATGCGGTCCGAATCTTCCACAACGAAAAGTAAAACACTTGTGATATTTTTTTTGTGGGATATCACCATCAGTGCCATTGAAAGAACTGACCAACAAATCTAAACCAGTTGTTAAGAAGTGTGATCTTTAATGAACAATCCCAACACAACAGCGACTGAGCAATCACCTCTTGTAGCCTGAACGGAATATTTTTTGCTGACTTCATTCTACATAAGATTCTCTGTTTTTTGCCACGTATATCTAGACACTTGCTATTCCTGCATGTCCTTTTCCATTCGCTTTAAAAAAAAAATAGACTACTTACAGGGTTATTTCCAAAATCTAATTTTTCCCTGTATTTTTCCATGGTTTTCACCTTATTTCCACCTTAATTCCAGGTTATTTCCATGTTATTTCGATGGATATTTCCAAAATCTCACTTTTTCCTGTGTTTTTCCATGGGTTTTCACCTTATTTCCACCTTATTTCCACCTTATTTCCAGGTTATTTCCAGGTTGTTTCCAAAATCTCACTTTTTCCTGTGTTTTTCCATGGTTTTCACCTTATTTCCACCTTATTTCCAGGTTATTTCCAAGTTATTGCCAGGTTATTTCCAAAATCTCACTTTTTCCTGTGTTTTTCCATGGTTTTCACTATTTCCACCTTATTTCCACCTTATGTCCACCTTATTTCCAGGTTATTTCCAGGTTATTTCCAAGTTATTTCCGGGTTATTTCCAAAATCTCACTTTTCCCTGTGTTTTTCCATGGTTTTCACTATTTCCACCTTATTTCCACCTTATTTCCAGGTTATTTCCAGGTTATTTCCAAGTTATTTCCGGGTTATTTCCAACATCTCACTTTTCCGTGTGTTTTTCCATGGTTTTCACTATTTCCACCTTATTTCCACCTTATTTCCAAGTTATTTCCAGGTTATTTCCAGTTATTTCCATGTTATTTCCAGGATATTTTCAAAATCTCACTTGTTCCTGTGTTTTCCATGGTTTTCACCTTATTTCCACCTTATTTCCACCTTATTTCCACCTTATTTCCAGGTTATTTCCAGGTTGTTTCCAAAATCTCACTTTTTCCTGTGTTTTCCATGGTTTTCACCTTATTTCCACCTTATTTCCAGGTTATTTCCAGGTTGTTTCCAAAATCTCACTTTTTCCTGTGTTTTTCCATTGTTTTCACCTTATTTCCACCTTATTTCCAGGTTATTTCCAAGTTATTTCCAGGTTATTTCCAAAATCTCACTTTTTCCTGTGTTTTTCCATGGTTTTCACTATTTCCACCTTATTTCCACCTTATTTCCAAGTTATTTCCAGGTTATTTCCAGATTATTTCCCGGATATTTCCAAAATCTCACTTTTTCCTGTGTTTTTCCATGGTTTTCACCTTATTTCCACCTTATTTCCACCTTATTTCCAGGTTATTTCCAGGTTGTTTCCAAAATCTCACTTTTTCCTGTGTTTTTCCATGGTTTTCACCTTATTTCCACCTTATTTCCACCTTATTTCCACCTTATTTCCATGGTTATTTCCAGGTTATTTCCAGGTTGTTTCCAAAATCTCACTTTTTCCTGTGTTTTTCCATGGTTTTCACCTTATTTCCACCTTATTTCCAGGTTATTTCCAAAATCTCACTTTTTCCTGTGTTTTTCCATGTTTTTCACCTTATTTCCACCTTATGTCCACCTTATTTCCAGGTTATTTCCAGGTTAGTACAAACCCAGAATACTAAATCACATATAGTCCGGGTTATAAACACTTGCGAGCAGAGAACTCTCCAAAAAGAGATCTTCACACAGTGGAAATTACTCAGATCCAATACTGGCGCTTCTTGGTGCCCACACGTTGAAACACTGGCATGGGTTGCTGCAACTCCAGAAGCCTTTAGTGACAACAATTTATTAATTATTTGGGACTTCAATGAAGACTTGAATGATATGGTTTGTTTGGAACCATGCTTTGAGTTAGATACGATCCTGTAACGTTACCTCTATTTTCAAGTCAAACCATATTCTTTCCATTGCTTTGCCAAAGCAGTTGGTCAGAGAAACTTGTGTCTATTTCGTTGGTAAACGCCATAAACTCTTCATAGTGCCTATGGTTTGGTGTGGAATCTAGCTTGGATTCTGATATGTTTTCTGATGTGTTTACTTCTTGGAAATAAGGATAATCATTGTATATTTCGGTGTTATGGTCCCAACCAGGCCAACCCTCACTGGAGACTATTTATTTGAGGGGGGGGTCTGGGGAGGGGGGGGTTTGACACCTGTGATTTACGGTCCCGAAGCCGATTCTACAAGCGGATCTGGCCCATGTTCAGTTTATGTCAGTTTCATGTTCAATCTGGGTGTAGTTCGACCGGAACAGAATTGACTATATGGAATTACGAGATGATGGGCAGATGATGGGTCTTTACCATTCTTTACCCCCGTTTACTTCAGTTCCAGAGACCGTCCCAAGTTCTTCAGGTGATCCTTAGTTAAGCCCGATGGCATCCCAGTAACAGGGGTGAATCATGTGAATCCTATACTTCTATTTCTATGTGTATATTTCTTATTATTTAAATATATATATATACACATATATTTAAATATCTATATAATATATATATACACATTATTTTCCTCATCGATTACCCACTTGAAAACTGGAAAAGTCGACCAGTCAGCCCCTTGACTTGAAGCTGGGACGAACTCCCTTGCAGGTCAGATATGGTCAGATGCCCTGGTTCCTGCAGGAATTCTGCTGGACGTCCGATGCACCCTGCGCTGTCAGGGATCCAACGCACTGCAGATGAACCGCGGCGGCTCAGGTTGCGAAATTGCCTTTTTTTGGGTTGAAAAACTTTGGAGGAATTTGGATTGTTGGTGGCATCAATTGTTCCTCGATTCTACGTAAGATCTACAGGGGCCTGGTATTTGCTGAACCATGGATTTTAGGGGATGTCTACCGCTGCACTACGGTGCAAATCTGATGGATTTTGATGGATGGATATTGGCTTCTGTGGGTTGCTATGGATTTCTGGCATCCAGCTGGATTTCTTGCCAACTGCCAGTGGATTGTCACTTAGATGGCGAGGTTCCGCGTGAGAAACCTATTCTCTTAAAATTGCTGCAAGGTTTCAGTCCCAAACTTGATATCATTTGAAACATCAGGAAATGTGGGACATCCCCAAAAAAATTCGATGGCAAAAGCATGTGTATAACTGTATAACTGTATAACCCAAATATGTATTACGATTACGCAAGACAGTTCTGTTTTTTTCCCACCAAGCAGGCTGGTGATTCAAAGCAATTTCCAGCTCACTAGCATCAGTAGGCTGGCACAGAAACCACCCGGACACGTGTCCAAGTGGCCCGCCGGTGACAACATCATGTCATATGCAGTAGGTATGCAAGTAGGGGACCAGCTCCCAGTGTCCTTTAACCTATGGCAGATATCGGTAGATGATTAGATTGATTACAATTGGTATCAAACTCTTAAAGATCTTGATTGCATATGATAATATGATTGAATAGGGCAGTACAACCAAGAAAACCAACACTTTGAAAGTTCATCTATGTTCATCTACAGTAATCCATTCCAAAAAAGTGCATTACCGGAATATCACTGGAATTTGTTGGGCGTATCTTAGCAGGTCCATCATTGTCCCCCGCTGGCACAACCCACTCTGAGCCAAAGCCTTTTCTTCGAGGAACCTGGTTGGCAGTGGCACGCAGCATGCTCTAAGCTGAGAATAATGCGGGTTTGCAGAAAAAAAAGCGCTTGGACGTTAGAATCTGAAGTGATAAGTATGCTAATTATATGTATATATATAATTCTATCTCTATATATATATATTTATGTGTGTATATGTATTTATTCATTTATTTGTTTATTTATTTATCTATTATTTATCTATCTACTTATATTTATCTATCTATCTATTTATCATTTATATTTATCTATATATTTACTAAAAAGATTCTCACGTTACCGGATAAATTGCTCCGAAGCCTTCCACTGTAGATTAGGAGAAGTCCAACACGGATGGCAATGACAGGAACTTTCTATCATCTCCTCGTGTTATTCCTTGACAAAAGCCACAACCCAGAAAATAATCATGTGATCAGGCCACGTAGAAAGTGCTTACACACAATAGCTGCCATAGCTCTACCCAACTCAAAAAAGAGAGAGCACGATGACTTGAGGACTTCTCTCAGAATTATGTTCGGTTGATTCGGCACTTAAATCTGCGACTGGAACAAGCAAATGATGTTCCATGATTTTCCCATTCGACATGATGATTTTCCATGGTCTACCACGAAACATGCAGTGGTTTTCCATGATTTCCCATGATTTTCATGGCCTTGATTTGGAGCCGGTCATGGTCCATTCCCATATCATACATTTACAGCCAAGGAAATATTCAACATAGCTACTGATTTTGGCCAACTGAGTCCCGTACTGATCCAAATGCCCAAATGCAATTCATCATACCCTCTGGTAATTTAACATAGCTATTGAAAATGGCCATAGAAATAGTGGATTTTCCCAGTGAAAATGGTGTCTCCCCGGGCGCAGGCCTCACCTTGACAGCCAATCAAGGCACCCTTGAGGTCACCCTGCAGGGGAATCCATCCCTTTCAGCTCTTTGGAAAGGTTACCCTCTGGTAAACGTTTACATAGCTATAGAAAATCACCATTTTTATGGGAAAACTCACTATCAATGGCCATTTTCAATAGCTATGTTAAATTACCAGAGGTTAGGCTTTTGAATTGACCCTGCTGGCCCTGGCCCTGTAGATTCCTCGGGTTCTATTTGTTACCTGATCTATGCAACCAAATCAACATCGTGAGGCACAAGGGGCCCTCTATTTCTTTCAAACTCCATGCGAACAAGAATAAATGGAAACGCCCAAACCAACCAAAATAGGGACAAATCGCCTACACATGCCTACACCAATCACGAATGGATGCAAAATATTAGGATTTGACCCAATAGATACCTAATTACATCCTAAACTAATATATCCTATATATTATTATATATTCCTATAAATAATATATACTTGTCCTCCCTGACAGGGTCTGACATGAATAGATCCAATACATTCCAGTGTTTTTGCTGGTGGATATTCAATATTAGGAGGAAAGGACTGGTCATATTCAGAACTCCTGGTTGAGATTGGGTGGTACCATGTCAAAAACTTGATATACCCAGTAGCAGTAGCACTAGTAGTAGCAGTGGTAGTGGGGCAAACCCAATTTTGATGAGACCCAATTTCACTATTTGGGAGATCCTTGAAACCTTACAGCCTTGTCCAATCGCTGGCTGCAGGGGCATAGCAAACTAAGGGAAAATCAAAAGATGTAGCAGCTTGGAGCTGCCCAATGTTGCCCAGCTCCCCTGTCACCATCTCGTCGGATTCTACCGGAAAAAAAAAAAACATAACCCATGATTGTTTGAATATATTGGAATCATCCCAATATAACCATGTATTACCCTCTGGTAAACTAACATAGCTATTGAAAATGACCATTTATAGTTGATTTTCCCATTAAAAATGGTGATTTTCCATAGCTATGTTAGTTTACCAGAGGGTAATGGCTATTAATTGCCCAACATTATCAATAATCATGACCACACCATCCCTGAAGAAGTCCTGGATGAAGCCCCAAAGTGATGTCTGCCGACCCTTGGCGCCAGCTGGCGCCCCACCTGACTCTGTCACGTTGCTACGACGACTCTTTGGCCCTGTGCTTCTCTCAGCGCTCCAATGTCCGGCACCTCAGCACCGCCCAACGTGTTGTTCACAGCCGAGGTTGAAACCCAAGTTTCAACATGCTTCAACAGGTAAATCCACACCATCGAAAATGGTTCCTGCAAAAAACTGCCATGTCAGTTTCCATCCAGAAAAACGGCATTGTCGGCACCTCCAGCAGCGGCACCATCCCAAGTTGACAGCCGCTGGTGCAGCCTTCCAACCTCTCAGACGTGCCATCGAGTGCTGATGGAAAACCAAAAAAAAAGTGACGGGGACTTCTTTAAACTCATATGAATATTTATAATATATATATATATTAAATCATTACACTATTCCATATTACGGCGATAGTTACATGTCTAGACATAAGAAACATATCTCTACGTATTATATTCTACCCATCTGCTTCTAAAAATTCCATAGATCATATTCCTTCATCCGTGCCATGGCCCAAAGGATGGGATGGGGTATGGTCATCCATCCAATGGTGGGAACAAGGATTCTGATGCGAGGCTTCTAATGGCATATGATGGTATGAATAGAATAATACCTATCTATCGATCGATCTTTCTATCTATCTATCGATCCATCCATCCATCCACCCATCCATCCATTCAGCCATCCATCCATCCATCCATCTAACCTATCTAACCTATATAATCTATCTAATTTATTTCCTCTATCTATAATCTATCTATAATCTAATTATCTATAATCTATCTATAATCTATCTATAATCTATCTATAATCTATCTATAATCTATCTATCTATAATCTATCTAATCTATCTAATCTATCCTATCTAATTATCCTATCCTATCCTCTCTCTCTCTCTCTCCATCGCCATCCCGAAGGTCCAGCTAAGGCTGAGGGCGAGCTGGTGGCCCAAGCAAACGGAGCCACACTTTGGGCAGGAACTATGGGGGCTGTACGCAAATTACACGAAAGAATTGTGAACCATGGGAAGTATGAGACAAGAATGGAAGTAGGTGTCGAACTTACCGAGACACACATTGTGCAAGTAAGTGGGGCAAAGTCATCATGGAAGCCTTTGCAAAGTCAACCAATTCCAGCTCACTGGTCGGGGTCCCACTGCCGAAGCTCACAGCGACGCCGTTTTGAATCAGATCCAGAAATCGGTGGGGCATAGGCTGGGGACTGGGGATGACGAGGCAGACCCCTTGAGGTTCTGCCATGTGCGTCGCTGAAGAGTCCACGTAGCACGTACCGACGTACCTTGAGAGCAAGAGCTCGGAGCAGCAAACAAATCCAAAGATACTGTCACACCCAGCTGGGCGCCCAAGACTGTTCACCCAATCTGTTCTCAAGGTCTTTTGTGAACCTCTGGGCAAAGGCATCAAATTCATCCATTGAGATCATCCTTTCCTAGCTTCCGTCTGTGATGCCTGGTCAGAGCGCTGCTGGCCACGAATCTTGGCCACATGATCTGTGTCACTGCAGCTGCCGAAGTCCTGAAAGAGGATACCTGGGGTCACATCAGTATCCACCATCGCACTGTGAGCAGCATTCACTTGAGTTGAGCTGGCAGTGCTGGTTAGGCCAGTGTCCAGGCCCAAGGCAGCATAGAGACAAAGCGGTCGCTTCAATGGATGTTCATCATCATGGGTCAGGGAGTGAAGAGCATGCCACAAGTGTTCAACTGTGGACTGTTTTCCTTGTCTGTGGGCGATCCTCAGACTATATCCAACGTAGGAGATGAGCTGGCAATCCATCATGCACCAATTGTGGAAAATTGTACCCAATAAGGGTCTCGTAGACCAAATGACTGTAGCCATTGGATCTATCTATCTATCGATCGATCTATCCCTATCTACCTCTTTATCTGTCTGTCTGTCTGTCTGTCTGTCTGTCTGTCTATCTATCTGCCTATCTATCTGTCCCATCTATCCTATCTATCCATATCATTCCATATCTATCCTATGTATCCTATCTATCCTATCTATCCTATCTATCCTACACTGCCAGGACAAAAGTTGTTCCTCTTAGGTTTTCCAACACTCTTTTCCCATAGACGCCTACCAAAGAACTTTCTACTAAAGAGGTTTCTACTTGGGTCGACGGATCAGATTCGTAACCTTTGAAAGAATTTTAATTTAACGCGGCTAGTAAATTCGATCCACCGCGCAGGCCACGCCAAATGACCCTCAGAATCATAGCGTTGATCCGCAGAGAGATATACACTGCTTTGTTCTGAAACAGTGGACGGGGGAAAAGCTTCGTCCTAGTGAAGTATCTATACTATCCATACTATCCATCCTATCTATCCTCTCCTATCCTATCCTATCCTATCCTCTCCTCTCCTATCCATCCTCTCTATCCTATCCTATCCTAATCTACTTTCTATCTCTCTATCTATCTATCTATCTGTCTGTCTGTCTATCTGTCTATCTATCTATCTGGCTATCTATATCTATATGTGTATATATATATACCGTTATATATCTTCTATCTCTATCTTTCTATATGCATCTACAGTATATCTATATCTATCTATCTTTTCATTTCTGTATATATATATCATCTATCTATCTATCTATATCTATCTATCTGTTTGTCTGTCTGTCTGTCTTTCTGTCTGTCTGTATCTATCTCTATCTTTCTCTATCTATCTCTATCTATCTCTATCTATCTCTATCTGCCTCTATCTATCTCTGTCTATCTCTGTCTATCTCTTTCTCTATCTATCTCTATCTATCTCTATCTATCTTTATCTGTCTCTATCTATCTCCATCTATCTCATTCTATCTCTATCTATCGCTATCTGTCTCTATCTTCTCTATGTATATATCTCTATCTGTCTCTATCTATATCTATCTAGCTCTATCTGCCTCTATCTATCTCTGTCTATCTCTTTCTCTATCTATCTCTATCTGTCTTTATCTATCCATCTATCTATCTATCTATCTATCTATCTATCTATCTATCCACTTGTTAATTCGTGGATTGATGACCTGGATAATTTACCCTTTGACCGTGGCACCTTTGGTGGCAAGGGCGGCACCTCGATCCCCATCCCAGGGTGATGGTTGGTCCCTGTTCAGTCAAGTGACCCAGATCTTGCAGGGTCGACAGTCTCTGGACCTGCACAGGCTGGTGGCTGAAGGCTGGTTCAACCATGGCGGATGTTCCCAGCTGAAGGCTCTTTTTAGGCTGATGACTTCCCGCTATATGAATGACATGTATCCACTTGGGCCCTTGCATTGCATTTCCTGGAGATGGAATCGCTATGGGCACATACCACCCCTGACAGTGCCCACCTAGACCCTCACGAGGTCTAGGAATGGCCACTGGGGAAGAGGTGATCGACTCCGCATCCTGTGAACGAGCTTTCATCCGGGGGGTAAGGACATGATCAAGGAGCAATAGTCGGAAACAAGGACAAAATGATTGATATGATTGGCTGGACGAATCAACTATCATATAGCAACTAATGCTAACATATGTTAACTATATCATATATATACAGGTTGTTGATGGTTGTTGAATTTGAAACCATGTTGAACTCCCTCTGCCATCCCATTTCAAAATTTCAGCAAGCCTGTCGAACTACGAAACCAAACTTCTGCCAGCAGTGGAGAGCAGCAACAAAATTCAACAGCTACACTTTCCAGTTTTGCTGTTGTAAACTGCAATTGTTATTTTGTTATATTTTTGTTCATCTATTCTCATCTATTTTCCATTCTTGTCCGATGCTTTTGTAGATGTTGGTTGTTTCATGGTTCAACGGCCTCTATGAGGTCATCATCCTCTGGAACCAGGGCAGGTTTCCGAGCGCTCTGCGACCTCGCAAAGCCCAAACACGAGCCCCTTGGGCCTTCGGCTACCAAGGTGCAGGGGCCAAAGGCCCCAGGTGTAATACAGCAATTGGTTCAAGTGTTGGGACATCACTTATTATATATTCAGTGAAACCGGGGATTGTTGATTATTTGGTCTACCACGATAATCAAATTTTCCCACTCCAAGCCGGTTGTATCCCCATGATATCCCATGTTAATACCAACATCAAACCCCAAAAAAAACTGCAAGGAAACCCAAAAAAAATCCATGAAAAGCCGTCAAAAACCCATGGTTTCTCCATGTTTCTGCAAGATTCCCATGGTTTATCCAAGCAGCAATCTCCTCGTTCTCACCTCTGGAGACGTTTGCGGCAGCAGTTCCCCCAAGGATGACACCACCACACTCTCCGTAATATGACCTGAGCCACTGCGAAGCGATTTTTGGGGATTGATCAATGATTGATCCCCAAGTTCGATCCGGGGACTTTCATGGGGAAAATTGATGATCAAATATGATCAACGACCCCAGAAATGGGGTAAATTGAATGCAGAAAATCATGGAATATGGTAGAAAAACATGGGCAATTTATGATATGATCAACCATTGGAGTTGATGATATCTTCTCATAAACTATGACCTTGAGGAGACCTAAGGCTCCACTTAAATCAGAGAGCCAGTGCCTGTGAACGCCCTGTCAGCTATTCAAAGATGCTAAGCTTGGTGGGACCAGGAGGTTTTATCATGTTTTATCAACCATCAAAGGTTGAAGAGTCATGGACTATTAGAATGTTTCATGAATTTCGCTGGCGTCTAGCAAGCCATGAAATGCTTGAAGATGTTTGAATATGTTTGAATCATCTCCAACACTTAGCCAGCACACCATCAAACTCCAACAAAAAAACAGCGTCTTCGTGCAGCAAACCCAGCTTGACTCAGGTTTTTACGGAGCTCCTGGACTTCATGGGTCAGCCTCTGCGCCTTTGGTCATGGAGGATCCCCATGGCCAGATATGGCCAGGATGGAAGGGTCTCATGGGGCAGCCACAGATGGACTAGCGGATCTAAGAATACATTATCCTAGTGACTTAGTGGTCCTCTCAAGCGCTGGATGGCCAATAAATTCGTGGCAAAATCGTGTCATCACTACAATCATAATGAACTAATGAACTACAGGTGACTGACGCACACTTGATTCTACATGCACATGATTTTCATACAACAACATACATGCCTATGCACACGTACGTGCGAGCACATGACCGTGCATGCGTTTGTGCGTTATAAATGTGCATGATGTGTGAATCATGTGACAGAGAAAGGTTACACCAACTTTCAAATTACAAAACAGTTCGGCGTCTCGTCTCTGTTGCGGCTCAGGGGCCCAGATTGGAACTTCGGGTTCCTCTTTTTCAAGGCTGCCTCCTCCTGGCCATGGGGTTGGTACAAAGTTGTGGTTGATGATTGTGTTCCGATGATTAATTTCAGCCTCATTTTTGATTTTCCTACTTGGGGGTTGCTAAGATGGTACAGTACATCTTAATCAAATATCCCATTGGTGTCTCGTGACTTCGCATCATCAAATCCCATTCAATTCTCCAAACCTAGGTGGCTACATGTGGCTACCGTTGGCGCGCCTTTCTGGCATGGATTGAGGCGTCTCGCAACTTCTGCCGCCTGTCCACTGCAACTTGCTGTGTCAACAGTCAGACGTCGGTGAAACAATTGCCACATGTCACAGGTCATTGGGATTGGTCTCAAAAGAAAGGATATGCCAATTGGATTTTGTGAAGTTCCAAACCTGACGCTTCCTCAGCTCTGGTGTACCATCTGGGACATTTTAGGCTGCACCAAAGATATTTTTCCAAGCTGGGGCACATTGCCACACTTCACCCCCAAGATGATTCATAGCTATACTGTGGATAAACCTTTTCGCGCACCTGCATCTTCTTTCTTCTGACTCTTTCTCTTCTCTGATCTTCTTTCTTCTTCTCTCCTCTTCTCTGATCTTCTTTCTTCTTCTCTTCTCTTCTCTGACTCTTCCCACCTCTGCTCTTCCATCTGTCCATATTGTCGGAAGTTTGACTTCTAAACTTCCTTCGGTTACATTGTTCCTTGTTATGAGTGTGTTTGAAAAAAGGATGCATCCAATGGCAATCCCCAAATCCATTAGTTTACCATCATCTTCCGTATGAAAATTGCCAGACTTTGGTGGGATACCTTGATGTTCAGACAGACCCAAATCATGAATGCATTGGTTCGTCCCTGTTGATGGTTACTCGCACTATTCCCTTTCTGACTCCTTCTTGTTGATGATCAAATCAGGAGAATAAAACACACCAAACCCATACTTCATTGCTAAAAGCATTCTTAGATCTAGATATCTATAGATATCTATAGATATCTCAACTCCATGTCTGAAATAAGTCAAATCCATTCAACCCCCCTATTTTTTCGGGTGAAATCTTCAGGCCCGGTTCAGGGTCAACCGCGCATCGGACCTTGGATGTGCTCGATCCTTGGGGGCAACCGCTGCCCCGTTCAGGGCCGTTCAGCTGTCAGAAAAATGACATGCTAATATGTGGAAACTGTTATTATACATACAAACCTATGTGTATATAATGATACATATAGAATGATATATATATATATATATATACACATGTGAGTATATATATATATATAATGATATATATATGTGTGTGTGTGGAGATGTATGTTATAATGGTAAATAAAAGAAAAAGAACGACATTTTGAAAAAGTGATCATATGGCACAAGCAGAAGCACCCAGGAGTGAAAATGACCTTGATGCATTGAAATTCACACTCAACTAACGTTACAAAGGCCCATTTGGCCTGACCAAAATGCAAGAGCTATCGATTCACTTTCATGGCCCGCTATGGATTTGTCAAGGTTAAGGCAATGCACATTTCACTTCTTTTCTTTTCACTCTCTCTCTCTCTCTAGTGTTTTTGCCATCCAAATCATGGGGTGTCCTGTCCTATGAATCTTCAGAGTGACTCTGAGACACGTCGTCCTCGTCCTCGTCCTGGTTGTCCGCTCTTGCTTTTAACGCAGCAGTTGGCAGTCCACCAAAAGGAGCTCCAGCAATTTTATCAAAAAAAAAACTAAGGTTGACCTTCAGATCACCGACCCTGGCATACCCTGACTCCACCAATTTCGTCATGGTGCTTCGGCGCGGAGACGGCACCGAAATCTCTCCTGCTGCGGGTTTTTGGTTTTCCCAGCACTTCCCATCAATTCCCACATGGTTCATTTCCGGAACCTGAATTGGAGGTACCTAACCTGAGTAAGCCATAGTAAGCCTAAGGCCTGAGCATCCCCAACAAAAATCTCCCCAATGTCCCATGAAAAGTTGGACACCCGTGCTTTTTCTGCGGATCCTTCAGGCGGAGGGCTCAACGACGGCCGAGATCGCGCAGCGTCGCTGGATATGCGACGCACCACCATGACTTCATCTGCGGACAGAGAATGAGGACGGTGGAACATGAAAAAATGGAGCTGTACAAAAATTAAACAATGAGGTATGTGTTGGTGGCGCTCATAGAAACTGATTTGCTCAACATATCTCAACATTTAGGGGACTATGATGGGCAGAATGGAGATTCATCATGATTAACCATCAAACATAGGGATTAAATATGATTAGATATTAATTGATTGGGTCTGTCTCAGAATAGTGGCAATGTAAATCCGAAACATGTTTTAAAGTAATGATGATATACCATTAAAGATGGTACCACACTATTTGTCAGACAAACCCGCATGTTTTAACCCCTGTCAACATGAAGGTCAACTGGGGCAAGCATCCAACTTAAGGACTGCAGTAGATCAAATAATCAGATGAGGTCTGATTATTTGGTGACTCAAAATTGGATCTACCCCCCAAATCCATCAGATTCGAATGATTCGACACTTCAATATCTTCAACACGCCACCACGGCAGCTGGCCATGTCCGACGAACATGGACGGGTTGAGCGATGAATTCATCGAGTTGAAGCCTGGCACAAAAAAGCACCAATGGTTCGCATTGGTTCGCTGACGTTAGCTGATGGGATGATGCTGATGTTAGCTTTCTTGGGCTCTTTGGAATTGGAAAAAACTATTATTAAAACTCATAGTGATTCAAAAAGTGATCATCCGTGAGTCATTCCCCAAGGGAATCGACCCTCCAAATCACCTGACTCCAGTCTCTGCGTCATGCGGACCAAGTCGAAGAGGGTCAACCTGGATGGCGAGCCGGCTGGATATGGCTGGATGGCTCTTATCATCTCTTATCGTTCCCGCATCAACCTGGAAGATAGATAACTGTAAATAAATAATAGATACTATAGATAATATAGATAATTACATATAGATAATATAGATAATCATTATAATGAATTTATAATGACATATAGATAATATAGATACTGGCAGATGGACCTCCCGACTGCAAGATGACCATGATGACACCGGATGTGGCGGGTCTAGAACCTACATGGTGATGGCAGTTATGGCTTCTAAATGTGGCACCAATGGTCTCAGAAGATTAGCATTTGACTTACCCTCCGGTAATTTAACGTAGCTATTGAAAATGGCCAGAAATAGTGGATTTTCCCATCAAAATGGTGATTTTCCATAGTTATGTTAAATTACCAGAGGGTAGCATTTACAGGGGATAATCAAATTTCACCGCTTCAACCAGCCATTTCTTCCGGGCCGTGGTCGTTCCATGTCGTTCCTTCCCCAGTACCAGTCGCAGTGACTTGATCTCCTCCGTTTCGTTCATGTAGCGCGCCAAGTGGTGCTTGATGTGATCCACTTGCATCCTTGGTTGGAGCAACACCTGGATCTACAGATGATCCCAGTGACGTGTCGCATGTTGTCGCCGCAGTTGGCCCAGATTTCAACGACAAAAGTTTCAGCCCGCAGTTGGGTTTCTCACTGCTGACGTTGTTGATCATCCGATAGAAATTGGGTCTCAGAATAACCTTCTTCCATCGCATAGTTCGCTAATAGTGTTAGAGAACGATGTTACCAACGGATAGAAATTCAGGGGTTGATCATCATCTTCCATCATCTTCCCATGTTTTCAACGGCCATAAATAGTCGTAAATGGTCATAAATTTGGGTTCATCCCCCCATTCCAATGGCCATAAGAAACTCTGGGAAATCCACTGTTTTACATTGCCATAAATTGATCACCATCGAAATTCCCAAAATAGTTCAAAAGATTGACCCTGTGACACCCTACATCACCCTACTACAATGGTAAGTTACCCTCTGGTTATGACTAACAGTTTGCCATGGAAAATCAATGAAAATCACCATTTTTAATAGGTAAAGCATCTATTTCTATGGGCCATGGCTTCCATGGCAAACCGTTAGTCATAACCGGTAGATGTTGATCCGAGTCCACCAAGGCACTGCATGCGTTTGAGCTCCAGCGGGCTATCGGACACGGCGATTTCCCCAAGGCCGGCACAGAACTCCTCGATGCCTGGGAAAATGGGATCTTTCTGAGGGGAAAATGGGATAAACATGGATAAACCATAGAAAACCTAAGAAAACCTAAAGCAATTTAGGGAAAATAGGATAGGAAACCATAGGACGGCCCATAATGTTTATAATTACTATAATTGCATCCCTTTCATTTGATGTCAAAGAGACTATCGTGGTGTCTTGTTCTCATTTGCAAACAACATGGCCATGAGGATGACGTACACATGTTCACACTGCCAGCAGCGAAAGAGAACAAAAAACTGAAACCATATTGAAACCACACCTGAAATTCCAAAATAGAATCCAAAACAATGGTGTTTCCCATGGGTTTTTCATGTTTTTCCCCACCTGCCAGGTGAGGGTTGTTAGATTTTATGTCAGTTGCTTCCTCCTCGTCCTCCTCGTCCTCCTCCTCCTCCTCGTCCTCCTCTCCTCCTCTCCTCCTCTCCTCTCCTCTCCTCTCCTCTCCTCTCCTCTCCGCCTCCTCCTGCTCAACCGCGACCCTCGACGCACAGTGTTCTCTGTCGGACGTCAACCACGACCATCCATTCCAGTGTTCCCTGCCGGACCTCAACCACGACCATCTCCGCCCAGTGTTCCCTGTCGGACCTCAACCACGACCATCCACGCTCAGTGTTCCCTGCCGGACCTCAACCACGACCATCCACGCCCAGTGTTCCCTGCCGGACCTCAACCGCGAGTATCCACGCCAAGTGTTCCCTGCCGGACCTCATGTAGGAAGATATGGGACAAAGAATGTGCAGAAGAAAGTTAGAAAGAATGTCAGAAAGAATGTCAGAAGATATGCCAGAAGATATGCCAGATAGAATGCCAGAAATAGAGATGCCAGATAGAATGCCAGAAGAATAGAAGATGTCAGAATATATGCCAGAAGATATGCCAGATAGAATGCCAGATAATATGCCAGATATGCCAGATAGAATGCCAGATAGAATGCCAGAAGATATTGCCAGATAGAATGCCAGAAAATATGCCAGAAGATATGCCAGATAGATGCCAGAAGATGCCAGATAGAATGCCAGAAGCCAGAAGATATGCCAGAAGATATGCCAGAAGATATGCCAGAAGATATGTCAGAATATATGCCAGAAGATATGTCAGATAGAATGCCAGAAGATATGTCAGAATATATGCCAGAAGATATGCCAGATAGAATGCAGAAGATATGCCAGAAGATATGCCAGATCATATGCCAGAAGATATGCCAGATAGAATGCCAAATAGAATGTCAGAAGATATGTCAGATAGAATGCCAGAAGATTTGCCAGTAAGAAAATGTATAAATGTCATGGTGGGGATAACACGAAGTAAAGTAATGATTTCTTATCTTTGCCAATTCTTAGTCTTCCAAGCCCACTTTCCGCGGGGATCCCACCGACTTCGCCCTTCTCATTGGAATCCAGCGCATCAAAGAGCTCCACAGGATCGTCAAAGCCGGTGAGGTCGCGAAGCATCTCAAGTGTGGGATTGTGACTGGTGAAATTTAGCGCGGCATTCATGCAATGAGTATAATGAGTCACTAGTGGCATGATAGTCTCACATGTGATTTCATCTCAGAAAGTTGTGGAAACTGCATTTCCAAGGGTTTGCGACTGACTTGAATCTACTCAGCTACACTTAATGCAACCTAGTATTATCATGTCATTCCATGTAACTTGAGTTAAATCATGATTGGACAACTCGATAGGGCTTCAACCTGATGATAATTTTGTTGGATCATCACAGTAATGTGATCCACACCAACAAGTCATCCTCAATTTGTGGATTATGAAATGATGTATACCCGGATTCTCGAGATGATTCATTTCATAGCTGTCATAGCAGCCTTTCATCGTTGATACGATGGTTCCTTTCTTTATAGATGTTTTGTATCATGAAATATCCCATTGTCGGTAAAGCCCAAAAACAGATGGTTCCATGGTGCTTTCCCAATGGGGAATCCACCGCATCCCATCAAGATTCCCCCGGGTTTGGTAAAGGGTATAGCCTAGCTATGTAGCTGAGATTGTGGATCAACATTTCTATTCCCATTTTTGGTTAAATAATGTTTAATATCTTATATTATCTCATTCAATTCCCATTCATATTATAGCAGATTGTTGTTGTTTGTATGTTATTTAAGTTCTACTCATTCATTATCATAATTCCATTATATAATATATATATCTTATTAAATCATATTAAATCTCCATCGGTTATATTTTCATGGTCGGTTCATTGGTTAAATATGAAGGTTAATTTTCCATAGTTGGTTATATATCCCATTAAACCCCAATGCTTCAACGGCTTAAACATCATGAACTATAATTTTCATGAAAGCTAGTTATATATCCCATGATAACTATATATTCCATACTTTTCATAGTTGGTTATTCATATCCAATTATATAAATCCCAACGGATCCCAATGGTTAAACCTCATGAACTATAACTTTCATGAAATGTATAACATATATCTGATATATCACTGGTTATATATGTTATATATCCCATGATAATTCAGGAGGTTTTTTCCCCAGCGCCACATAATCCATCATAATCCCACCGTTCTAAGATAGTCTAAGTCACTGGGAGATGGATTAGCCATGAGCCATGGATTATCCCAGTTTGTCTCCCAGTTTGTCGCCAAAAGGCATGTCTTTCTCTTTCTGCGATCTGAGCAATCTCCTGGCCTCGAGATGGTGGGAGATCATCGCTGCAAAATCTTCAGCTATTGTCATCTATTGTAAGGTGAAGCAAGGGCAAACCATCCCAAAAATCATGCTAGCGGCCTTTCGGCCAGGATCTTGAAGCTTTCCATCATGTTCTTCATCCGTATGTTTTGGATGTTTCAGATATCACTAGCTACAAGTGGATACAAAATCCTGTTTCTGACGCATGACTCAGGATTCTAGCACATTTACAGTGCAGGGGCAAAGGGGGCCGAAGCGTGGGTTTCCGACGTTGCGCTGTGACGCTCCCGGGGGCGGGTGGCGCTGCGACGCTGCGACGCTGCGACGCTCCGGGGGGGGGGGGGCGCTGCAACGCTGCGACGCTGCGACGCTGCCGTTGGGCCAGTGACGCTGCGACGCTGTTGGCGCTGCGACGCTGCGACGCTGGAGTGACGCTGCGACGCTGTTGGCGCTGCGACGCTGCGACGCGGGAGCGACGCTGCGACGCTGTTGGCGCTGCGACGCTGCGACGCTGCGTCGCGGGAGCGACGCTGCGACGCTGTTGGCGCTGCGACGCTGCGACGCTGCGACGCGGGAGCGACGCTGCGACGCTGTTGGCGCTGCGACGCTTCCTTCTGCAAGAGTGCACACGTCGTTGCGTCGCGGCGCGACACGGAAACCCCCATTGAAGATCGTCAATGAATGTAGAAATTTATATATAACGGGGCTGAAAGAATTAAATCCTTATTGAAGATCGTCCATGAATGTAGAAGTTTAACGGGGCTGGGAGAATTAAACCCTCATTGAAGATCGTCAGGGAATGTAGAAGTTTAACGGGGCTGGGAGAATTAAACCCTCATTGAAGATCTTCGATGAATGTAGAAGTTTAACGGGGCTGGGAGAATTAAACCCTCTTTGAAGATCGTCAATGAATGTAGAAGTTTAACGGGGCTGGGAGAATTAAACCCTCATTGAAGATCTTCAATGAATGTAGAAGTTAAACGGGGCTGGGAAGAATTAAACCCTCATTGAAGATCGGCCATGAATGTAGAAGTTTAACGGGGCTGGGAGAATTAAACCCTCATTTAAGATCGTCCATGAATGTAGAAGTTTAACGGGGCTGGGGAGAATTAAACCCTTATTGAAGATCGTCCATGAATGTAGAAGTTTAACGGGGGTGGGGAGAATTAAACCCTCATTTAAGATCGTCCATGAATGTAGAAGTTTAACGGGGCTGGGGAGAATTAAACCCTCTTTGAAGATCGTCAATGAATGTAATAGAAGTTTAACGGGGCTGGGAGAATTAAACCCTCGTTGAAGATCGTCAGTGAATGTAGAAGTTTAACGGGGGTGGGGAGAATTAAACCCTCATTGAAGATAGTCAATGAATGTAGAAGTCTAACGGGGCTGGGGAGAATTAAAACCTCATTGAAGATCGTCCATGAATGTAGAAGTTTAACGGGGGTGGGGAGAATTAAACTCTCATTGAAGATCGTCAATGAATGTAGAAGTTTAACGGGGCTCGGGAGAATTAAACCCTCATTGAAGATCGTCCATGAATGTAGAAGTTTAACGGGGCTGGGAGGAATTAAACCCTCATTGAAGATCGTCAATGAATGTAGAAGTTAAACGGGGCTGGGGAGAATTAAACCCTCATTGAAGATCGTCCATGAATGTAGAAGTTTAACGGGGCTGGGAGAATTAAACCCTTTTTGAAGATCTTCGATGAATGTAAAGTTTAACGGGGCTGGGGAGAATTAAACCCTCATTTAAGATCGTCCATGAATGTAGAAGTTTAACGGGGCTGGGGAGAATTAAACCCTTATTTAAGATCGTCAAAGAAAGTAGAAGTTTAACGGGGCTGGGGAGAATTAAAACCTCATTGAAGATCGTCCATGAATGTAGAAGTTTAACGGGGCTGGGAGAACTAAACCCTCATTGAAGATCTTCGATGAATGTAGAAGTCTAACGGGGCTGGGGAGAATTAAAACCTCATTGAAGATCGTCCATGAATGTAGAAGTCTAACGGGGCTGGGGAGAATTAAAACCTCATTGAAGATCGTCCATGAATGTAGAAGTTTAACGGGGCTGGGGAGAATTAAACTCTCATTGAAGATCGTCAATGAATGTAGAAGTTTAACGGCGCTCGGGAGAATTAAACCCTCATTGAAGATCGTCCATGAATGTAGAAGTTTAACGGGGCTGGGAGAATTAAACCCTCATTGAAGATCGTCAGTGAATGTAGAAGTTAAACGAGGCTGGGGAGAATTAAACCCTCATTGAAGATCGTCCATGAATGTAGAAGTTTAACGGGGCTGGGGAGAACTAAACCCTCATTGAAGATCGTCCATGAATGTAGAAGTTAAACGGGGCTGGGGAGAATTAAACCCTCATTTAAGATCGTCCATGAATGTAGAAGTTTAACGGGGCTGGGGAGAATTAAACCCTTATTTAAGATCGTCAAAGAAAGTAGAAGTTTAACGGGGCTGGGGAGAATTAAAACCTCATTGAAGATCGTCCATGAATGTAGAAGTTTAACGGGGCTGGGGAGAACGGGGCTGGGAGAATTAAACCCTCATTGAAGATCGTCAATGAATGTAGAAGTTTAACGGGGCTGGGAGAATTAAACCCTCATTGAAGATCGTCAATGAATGTAGAAGTTTAACGGGGCTGGGAGAATTAAACCCTCATTGAAGATCGCCCATGAATGTAGAAGTTTGAAGGGGCTGGGAGAATTAAACCCTCATTGAAGATCGTCAATGAATGTAGAAGTTTAACGGGGCTGGGAGAATTAAACCCTCATTGAAGATCTTCGATGAATGTAGAAGTTTGAAGGGGCTGGGAGAATTAAACCCTCATTGAAGATCTTCAATGAATGTAGAAGTTTAACGGGGCGAGGTAGTGTTCAGAGGGGGTCGCTGGCTTGATCTTCGAAGATGCAACATATATTCAAAGGGGGTGGCGGGGCTGATGTCTCAAGGTGCAACGTATTGTTCAGAGGGGGTTGGGGAGTTGATGTCTTGTGATGGTGAAGATGCAACATAGTGTTCAGAGGGGGTTCCAGGGCTACTGTCTCAGCTTGTCCGGTGGCTTCTCGGCTTCTCGGCTTGTCCGGTGGCTTCTCGGCTTCTCGGCTTCTCGGCTTCTCGGCTTGCCCGGCGGCTTCTCGGCTTCGCGGCTTCTCGGCTTCTCGGCTTCTCGGCTTGCCCGGCGGCTCCTCGGCTTCGCGGCTTCGCGGCTTCTCGGCTTCTCGGCTTGTCCGGTGGCTTCTCGGCTTCTCGGCTTCTTGGCTTCTCGGCTTGTGCCGGGCTTCTCGGCTTCTCGGCTTCTCGGCTTCTCGGCTTCTCGGCTTCTCGGCTTGTGTCGTACTTCGCGGCTTCTCGGCTTCTCGGCTTCTCGGCTTGTGTCGGGCTTCTCGGCTTCTCGGCTTCTCGGCTTCTGGTCGCATTTCTGGGCCCCTTTTGCCCGTGCTTTGCACATTTACAGTAACTGATAGCTTACTTAAAACAAAACGGTCAATGTTAGTGAAGCAATAGTAACCCATCCCCAAAAAAATTGCCATAGATGGGTGCTATAGATACCATCAATCCATATCAATCAATGATGGGTGGTTTATGACATTGCTGTACTAACATTAGTTGCCCAAGTTTCTCCACCCTTCCCCGGGGGTCCCCCGCCAGCGTGCACCGGGCCCTTCGTTGCCAAGCTGCGCGAGACCTCGCCGGAGCCATCGTGGTCCAGGCGATAGAACATCTCCCGCAGCTCAGCCAACACCTACAGGGCAGATCAAGGGTTGGATCGAGAGTTTGGGGTATTTTCTATGATAGTTATTAATATGGGCATATTCATGACTATGTTAATCATTATGTTTATATGCTAGTTATGATAAAAGTGAAATGATTATGATAGATGTAGATGATGATGATGATGATGGTGATGATGATGATGATGATGATGGTGGACGTTAGTATGATACCTGTTGTGACGATTATTATCGCTGTTGTTTTTTATGACTATGACGGTTATTGTTCTGATAGTTCTTGTGGTTCATAGCTGTTATGATTATGACCGTTATTGATCCCTTCCCCCTAATATTAAACCTCCCCAGAACCATGGTTTAGGAAGAGATCTAACACATATTTAGGACCATACAATGGGGTGGTTTATATTGGGTGGATGGGATTATTTTGATACTTATCATGATGGGTTACAAACTTAAGTTTTTAGGGCTATTAATAATCTACCAAAATGATGGGTTATTGTCATGGGTTATCAATGTATAATAATCTACCCATGATGGTTATCTAATATCCTATACTGGACCCATGATTCTAAATAATGATGGCCAGTTATCCCGGGCTATCTATAGGATATTAAGATCCATGGGTCATTCATTTAGCTCGTTCATTGGGTGAATGCGCTTTTCTTGGGGATAATCCATACAGTAGTAGCTTAGTGGCTGTTAGTGTAACCAGCAAAATGGCTGAAAAAGGCACTTGGATGTGGGGACCCAGGCATCCTAAGTTATATTATTATATTATATTTACAACCTCTGAATCACTGGAAATATGTATTCCATATGTACACATATTATGACACAGACACACACACGCACACACACACACATATATATATATACATAAATTGATACACATAATATACAAGTTACAAAGATATACACATGCCGATATACATACGTATGCATATATATATATATTCATACATCATTTATATACATCCACGCACAAGTGGATGAACGAACACGATTTACCCCAATTGGTATTACCTGCTAATATTTCACCAACAAAGATGGGGATTTATGGATATTATATTATATATACACTATATATATTAAAAAAAATACGCTATGTGTATATATATATATATACACACTATATACACTATACATATATACACATGCATAATGGAGACGCCATTGAGGTATAACTATAGGGAATGTACTGGGGGTATAAGAGAGCATTACATCCGATTGACCATCCGATTGTACCATGGTAGTGCGCTTTCATGAAATTCGGACCATGACCATGACTTGAACCCCTATATCCAATGCTCAAACTGTTCACCCAAGAACTCAAGAACCCCATTTTCATCCCATTGTCCAATTCAATTTCAGCCGTGGCCCCACGATATCTCCTGCCTTTTTCCGATTCTGCTCTTCTATGGAACGCCTCAGAGCCGTGGTAAACCTAGCCAGGGCCAACAAAAAAATATCACCAAAAGTCAATCTTTTCTTGGGAAAAATATGGTGAACCATACCCCTCTTGTGCCACCGCAGGAGTCAGTCCCCTGGAAACCGAAGAAAACGATTGAAATGCCAGGTCCGCCTGAAGGCGCAGGTAACACAATTTTCTGACAACCTGTGGCCTGTCTCTAAAATAGACTTGTTATAACTTGTCGGGCTGAGGTATGACCATCAGGGGGGCTTTCCATGATTCCATTAGTATACTGAATGGGGATGTGAAAACCTGACTTTCAACGGGTGTTCATCTGCAGCCAGCTGCCGGCTGATACCGTCGGGCCATGGCACAAGAGGCTTTTGTCTTTGGCCGCTTGTTCCAAGCTGGAATTCACGATCACCGCTGTGACCTGCCGTGGTCAGTTGCACCTGTGTTTGGCGTTGTTTTTTCTTGCCTTGCCGACGCATGTGTACACGTATGCAATACACTATCAGTATAATGAACAAAATGTCAAATAATGATATATTATACAGTATTATACAGATACAGTTGAAACTAGACATGGATATGCCATGATATGCCTGTGCATCACAGTGAAGAAAGGTTATGAATGGTTATGAGGGTGTGGCAATATTAGGGACATGAGTTCTATCATGTTGTGTTGTTGTGTTCCACATCCTTGGAGATTTTGGCAGCGCACCAGGTTCATGATGACGATGCCAACAACTAGAATTACCTTGGGCACATGAGCAGTGGCCAAAAGGCCAGGAGTTGCCAAAACCACAGCCACCACTGCTAAATTTCCTGTCATTTCCTGTCATGTCCTCGAACTCGATGGCTGGTGATCATCAGATCTCAATCAGACTCATCATGACTCATCATGACTCATCATCCACTACTCAGCCAGCTTACACGGCTTACACTTACACCGTAACTTACACCTGCCAGCCTCTCCATTTCATCCAGGATCCAGAGATGATCCAAGGTACTATGACAAAGTAGGCCAGCAACAGAGGATCCCGATCTCCCAGAGGTTTGTAGACATGCACCTGAGTCATGCTGAGTCATGAGTCGATCTCTCCAGTGAATGGCTTTTGTCAGAGTTGACTCTACGCCGTAGACTCTACGCCTTTTTTGAGCAGGAATCCGCTAAAGAAAAACCTTTGACATCGTTTCACCCTGTTGCTCCCATCCCAAGAACAAACCGTTTTTGGGTCTCCTATGTTTTCATGTTTGGGTCGCCAACGCTGGTTTTTTGACCCATTCTCAGATCATCCCCAGCCCAAGAAATGGTACATAATGGTACCAAGCATCTATGTTATCGAAGGATACAAACCTCGGTCCCATCAGTCCGAGCGGCGTGAATCGTGTTGGGAGTCGTCTCCCCTTTTTGCGTCCCCGGTGTCTCCGGGATGTCCCAAAATTACCCTCCGGTAATTTAACGTAGCTATTGAAAATGGCCATTAATAGTGGATTTTCCCATGAAAAATGGTGATTTTCCATAGCTATGTTAGTTTACCAGAGGGTAACTTGAAAAATTGAAATATCCATTGAGTCTTTTCCAAATAGATCAGACTAGTGTGACTAGTGGCCGATGAGCACCAGAATTTTCCTGCCCACCTGCCAGTTCCAACATCAAAAGGAGCATTGGATGTGTGTCGGAAACACTGATCAACTGATATCAACTGGCTGCGTGACAATACCCAATTGATGAGTTCCATCTTTCCAGCATCACATGGCTATGCATACGGCCAGTCATTTGTGGGCAACTTAATATTGCAATTTTTTTTTGCCACCCCATTCTTGACCCATCCCCTTTTTGTGCGAGCATCTGCAGCAATGTGATCATGGTCTTTGACAAATCACCTGATGCTCGGCAAACATAGCTCACTTGTAGGATGATCCCGATGACTTCATTCCTTCTCTGGATTCCTCCTATTGAACACGGCGGTTTGAAGCCTTGCTGCAACGTAGGGGAGTTACACAATGTTATATAATTATATTTAATTATGCATATTTGGGACCATTTCGGGGGCCTTTCATATTTGAAGGATTGGATTGTTTATTGATATGCCATTTGGTAGTTTGACATGTATGGTTTGATCATCCTGGCGTTCAGTTCAGAAATGAGCATCAAATATCCTCACCAAGCCCTAAGAATGGACATTTCCACAAGCCTCTGGCAATTTAACAAGCTGTGGAAAATCACCATGGAAATGATAGGTAAGTCATCGAACTACATTGGCCATGGCTTCCATAGCTTAGTTTACTGGAAAATATCGCGTTTGCCAAGCTGCACTGGAATTAGACTCCAGTTTCGAACTGCCATCAGGCTATGAGAATGTCCGAACATCTTGCCCAAGCTCCCATCAACATCCATCAACCCTCCGTCCAAAGCGCCGAAATTCTCATGCACGGTCTCAGCAAAGACCTGTGGCACACTGGAGTTGAAAGATTTACCGACCAAACCCGCACAATATCACACGATGGATGAAAAATGATGAAATAGTCCAAGAATGTCCAAAAGTTCTCAAGTGTTGCCCTTCCCAAATGATAGGTTTTTCTTATTCCCAGCTCTGAGTCAGGAGCCTCGTCTTGTTCCAACAAGGGATGCTGGTACAGCAGCTGAAGAATCAGGCAAGCAAAGATGTACCTGCACAGAATCCAGGGTTGTCCCCCATTTTTTGTGACCTATGACTTGCACATGACGAATAAATTTAATTGAAACTCACCATTGAAAAAAAGACGGAAACGATGGGGGCCAGTTCAAAGAGGCCTGCCTATCAGTTCAATGGGATGAAACAAGCCTGTTTTACAACCAAGTTTTTGACATGTTCTTGTTGGGTTTCCACTGCCGGAGCACAAGACCACGAAGAGGAGAAGAATAGTATACACCATGGTTGAGGCCGAATGCGCCAAACCTGCGCCAAAGTGTATAAAAAATTTCATGCTAATGTGAATGCCACTTCTGGAGGGGGTTCATAAATTACATGTATGCCGAAGCAAACTAAGTGGATCTAACTGGTGTCTATTGGAGACATGCATACACATATGTATACACATGCATATAGCAATATATACATATAATATATGCATATGTGTATACAGTGTGTACACGTATAGTTATATAGCTCTGTGTAGTACTTATGTGTTTGGATATGCTTGAGGAAATCCAAAACAAATATTCCCTAGAGACTCTCCTAGTTTCCCATGGGGGAAATAAGCAGTTATCTTCAGCAACCCAGGTATATACTTATACGAGCTTGTCAGCATGCCAACAATGTATATAATAAGTGAATGTGTATATATAAATATACATGCATATTAGTAGTTATGTGTATGTTAACAAATAAATAAATATATATATATATACACATACATATACACACACATATATAAATATACATAATATAATATGTGTATATATATATATATATATACATGTATGTGTGCATCTGTGTGTTGTGTCCCTAGAACCGCGTTTGTTTCACAGCCAATGTGACATGTGTGTTTAAAGTTCGCTCCAAGCATAGGCAATTTTCCACTGACATACCGAATCTGGGAACTGACCTGGTGTAACCCCAAATTGTTGTTTGTTTGTCAACGTTTGTCATGGTTTATTCCCTATGAAAGTGACCATAAATGAAGCGTATGACACAATCATCCCGTCGCGCCGTTTTCCGTACGTGCGTTTTGCACAATTTCATTATCATCAGGTCCACTTCAAGTGTATTTCGTTTGTATTTCGTGTGGGAAAAATGAAGTATTTTTGTGTAGCATGCACAAAATGATGTGGAATTTGGCTGGTGTTAAAAAAAAAAATCGCTTGTGTTTTCATCCAATTTTGTCCGAGAATTATGTGAAATTTAACATCGTTTGGAATAGGCTCTGCCCGCATAACATGTGTCATCGCATCAAAATGGGAAAGACAGAACGTGGCCTGCGTGGTATATTCATCATCATTTTTGTCCAAAAATTGTCGAAATCAGTGCGCATTTAGAGTGGTTTTACTTTTTTTTTCCGTCTCGCTGTGGTGCCGTACAAGTTTTTTTTGAAAATGTTGTTTTCCCCATGACACCTATTAGAACACAGACTGCGCACTTTGTTTTCTTCTTCACTTTCGAAGCAAGTTGAGCTGGTGGATTGTCTTCGTGCGAATTAGAGTGGGGCGATTGATATACCTCCATTGGAACGCGCGCAAGTAAACCGCAATCAATTCTGATTGGCTTCCTAGCTGTTTTGGAATGAATGCTTTGCAGCCACTCCAAACTTGGTCAATTGTTCCGGTATGTACTTGAATGACCTCTCGTCCTCGTCTCAGTTCACCAGTAAACTGGCCAGCTGAATGGTTCACCACACCATGAAGAAGGTTCAAGGTTGAGGACATTCTTTTGTAGCAACGAGCACCATCAGTAAGGATCATGTACGAAGTACAAGGTACGTGAACATCCCCCACCCCCCCACCCCACCCCATCAGCAGCGTAGCAACATGTGACGTAGTAAACGATCCCAGAGATCTCAGCAGCGTAGCAATGGATCATGTACGAAGTACAAGGTACGTGAACATCCCCCACCCCCCCCACCCCACCCCATCAGCAGCGTAGCAACATGTAACGTAGTAAACGATCCCAGAGATCTCAGCAGCGTAGCAACATGTAACGTAGTAAACGATCCCAGAGATCTCAGCAGCGTAGCAATGGATCATGTACGAAGTACAAGGTACGTGAACATCCCCCAACCCCCCACCCCACCCCATCAGCATCGTAGCAACATGTAACGTAGTAAACGATCCCAGAGATCTCAGCAGCGTAGCAATGGATCATGTACGAAGTACAAGGTACGTGAACATCCCCCACCCCCCCACCCCACCCCATCAGCAGCGTAGCAACATGTAACGTAGTAAACGATCCCAGAGATCTCAGCAGCGTAGCAATGGATCATGTACGAAGTACAAGGTACGTTAACATCCCCCACCCCCCACCCCACCCCATCAGCAGCGTAGCAACATGTGACGTAGTAAACGATCCCAGAGATCTCAGCAGCGTAGCAATGGATCAGTACGAAGTACAAGGTACGTGGAACTCCCCCACCCCCCCACCCCACCCCATCAGCAGCGTAGCAACATGTAACGTAGTAAACGATCCCAGAGATCTCAGCAGCGTAGCAACATGTACGAAGACAAGGTACCATCCCCACCCCCCACACCCCATCAGCCAGCCGTAGCAACTGTGACGTAGAAACGATCCCAGAGATCTCAGCAGCGTAGCAATGGATCATGTACGAAGCAAGGTACGTGAACATCCCCACCCCCCCACCCCACCCCACCCCAACATAGCGATATTCAAAAATGTGCGTTTCACTCGTACGGTTTTCGGGGCGTAAGCACAATCATGTAGAGATAAGTAGAGTAATCCCTATATGCCGCAATGATTTGCGATTTCCAACCGTGCAGGATAGAGCATGACCACGCAGCCAAGGACTTATAGTATCTTATAGTGCAATACCACCACTTGTGTTCGCGGAACTGGCAAGATTCGACAAGTGGATTAAATCTTCCTATCAACTCAGCAGTGAGTTCATTTGCTACTCAACCGCCATTTGCCGCCTAGGGGTGCATGTTATTCTTTTGTGTTTTTGAAGAAAAGGGAGAAGAAGAAAAAGAAGAAAAAGAAGAAGAAGAAGAAAAAAAAACAATACTTTACTTCGTGTGATCCCCACCATGACATTTATACATTTTGTTACTGGCAAATCTTCTGGCATTCTATCTGACATATCTTCTGGCATTTTATCTGACATATCTTCTGGCATTCTATCTGGCATATCTTCTGGCATATTATCTGCTCAAATCTTCTGGCATTCTATCTGGCAAACATTCTGGCACTTTATCTGGCATATCTTCCGGCATTCTATCTGACATTTTATCTGGCATTCTATCTGGCATACCTTCTGGCGTTCTATCTGGCATATCTTCTATATATCTTCTAACATTCTATCTGGCATATCTTGTGGCTCTCTATCTGGCATATCTTCTAACATTCTATCTGGCATATCTTCTGGCACTCTATCTGGCAGATCTTCTGGCATTTCTATCTGGCCGTTGAGGTCCAGCGGTGCACACTGAGCTGGGAAGGTCCCAGGTTGAGGTCCAGCGGTGCACACTGAGCTGGGAAGGTCCCAGGTTGAGGTCCAGCGGTGCACACTGAGCTGGGAAGGTCCCAGGTTGAGGTCCAGCGGTGCACACTGAGCTGGGAAGGTCCCAGGTTGAGGTCCAGCAGCGCACACTGAGCTGGGAAGGTCCCAGGTTGAGGTCCAGCACTCCGCACTGAGCTGGGAAGGTCCCAGGTTGAGGTCCAGCAGTGCGCACTGAGCTCGGAAGTTGGCGAAGAGCTTGGCGAAGAGTTGGCAAGGCGGAAGTGGAGGTGGAAGTTGATGCAGACATGGTCGAGGAGAAACTGGAGGAGGAGGCGGAGGAGGCGGAGGAGGCGGAGGAGGAGCAGGACGAAGCGGAGGAGGAGGAGGAGGCAACAGCTCTGATAAAATCTAACAACCCTCACCTGGCAGGTGGGGAAAAAACAAAACGGTCATGCCGTCCATAGCCCAGTCATACAACGTTGGTTCATTCTGGGAGCAAGAGATCTGCAGAATTCACTGCCCTTCTATTTCTGGCATTGCGAAGTCCACCATACACAGAGACCCTTCAGTTGTTGGTTCCTGAGAATCGCCCGTTTGTGGTGAACTGTTGCTAGGTCAAATTGCGAGAAGGTATACGGTATACGGTATATATACTGATACACCTAAGATCACCTAAGTAACTCTATAGTTTGTTGTATATCTTCGTACTTGTTCTTTGCTTCATTTGGCTTGATTTTGCTGTGCTTGGCAGTCTCCCAGCCCTAGCAAAAGTCGCTGCGGCCTTGCACCAGCATCCAAAGCTCCCGAAATCTCATCAGGAACCTCACCGTTTTTGCCTCATGGCGAGCAGGATGCGAAGTCCCTGACGCCCCATTCTGACGTGCTCGTCCTCTGAAGATTCGATTTGTAAAGTATATGTAAGTGTCATCGGTTCTCTTTAATTTACCATGACCAAAAAGGTGCAAAGTTTCACCTTCTATGTCAGCATTGCATCACACTGGAAGATGCTGTCCAGAGTTGGTGATGCCGAGAATTCTTCAGGGTCAATGGTCATCCCGGTTGTCACCCACCCCTCTGGGAGCAGTGACCAGCCGCAGCAGTCGAGCACATCTCAACATCAACAGCGTGTGGACCTGTGTGGGATCAGGTTCTCTGCTCGATCTAACGGGCAATTCCCAAAATTGACTTTGAAAATTAAGGTTTATAAATGAAATCGCCGGCTTATCCGCATCAACTGCCAATTCATAGGCAGCTCAACCAGCTTAAGCAGCAAATTCCAAGCTTTAGGTTAGGGATGGGCCAAATCATGTTTGCCCAAGGCCATGGAGAATTCAACGCACAAACATTCAACATCCAGACATGTCAATAATCGCAATAGTTCAAAAGAAATGACATGAAATGACCATTCTGCGCTTCCCAGTGCTTCCCGCCTCCGGCACGTTATGGACGAGAGGGAGGATCCACTGACTCACGATGCCTAAAAACACCAGGAAACAATCCTCAGCGCCCACCGCTGCTCCGGGACGAAACAGGAGGAACATTACATGAATATATACATGAATCGCGTATCATCATATCGCGTTTCATCTTGTACCAATATCGCAATGTTTGCCAAAATGACTGTCATGCAAAAGATCTCATATCTTAACATATTTTAACCATCTTTATTGCACATCTCAAAACCATCCGAGTCGTCCAAAACGAAGCCATCATCCCATCCCCACCACCACGTTTCAGCGCATCTTTAGCTCAGGGACGAAGCGAAGCCACGGATCGCGGAACACCGAATGGCAGTCTTCCAGTAGACGCATGATGAGCTCCACGGTGTAAGCTGCCAGGAAACAATGCTCCAACCTTGGGGCGTTTCGGACCAAGGTTCAAACTGGGGCACCATGGGGCACCAATTTTTCCATCTATAGTAGATATCACTAGACGAGGGCTGGCCCGAGAGCGAGTAGGTGTATATATAGCTACTCAGATGTGTTATGCAGTTGTATGATTGGCAGACGCCAAAGACTTACATGAATATGTTCATGAGCATGTTGTTTGAGATCATGTGAAAATGTTGATTATGTGTAGATGCCAAGATAAAAAGATGTGAAGATGTTAGGGTTTTAGTTTCAAGAGACAGACAAGGTATGCTGTATAATTAGAAGGTGTGCAAAAATACATACATACAGATATGTTCAAAGGCTCTCAAGCACAGACGCACGCGGAGAAACATGTTTACACATACATACACACAGAAGCTTTTACACACAAAAGTTTCTTTTACACACAGACACTTTTACACGCAGACGCTTGTACACACAGCAAGCTTTTGCACACAGTAAGCTTTTACATTTTACACACAGAAGTTTTTACACACAGAAGCTTTTGCACACAGAAGTTTTTACACATAGAAGCTTTTACACACAGAAGCTTTACACAGACGCGTTTACACACAGAAGTTCTTACGCACAGAAGTTTTTACACACAGAAACTTTTTACACACAGACACTTTTGCACACAGAAGCTTTTTACACACAGAAGCTTTTACACACAGAAGCTTTTACACACAGAAGTTTTTACACACAGAAGCTTTTACACACAAAAGCTTTTACACACAGAAGCTTTTACACAGAGAAGCTTTTACACGCAGAAGCTTTAACACGCAGCAATTGTTTACACGCAGAAGCTTTTTACACACAGACACTTTCACAAACAAACGCTTGTACACACAGCAAGCTTTTGCACACAGAAGCTTTTTACACACAGAAGCTTTTACACACAAACGCTTGTACACACACAGAAGCTTTTACACGCAAACGCTTCTACACACACACACAAGCTTTTACACACAACAAGCTTTTACACACACAAGTTTTTACACGCAGAAGCTTTCACACATGCTGACACTTTTACACACGAAAGTTTTTACAAACAAAAGCCTTTTTACATATAGACACTTTTACACGCAGAACCTTTTACACACAGACGCTTTTACACACAGACGCTTACACACAGTCACTTTTACACACGGAAACTTTTGCACACAGAACCTTTTACATGAAGAAGCTTTTACACACAGACACTTTTACACACAGAAGCTTTTGCACACAGACGCTTTTACACACAGAAGCTTTTACACACAGAACCTTTTACGCACAAAAGCTTTTACACCGACGCGTTTACACACAGAAGCTCTTACACATAGAAGCATTTACACACAGAAGCTTTAACACACAGCAAGCGTTTACATGCAGAAGCTTTTTACACACAGGCACTTTTACAAACAGACGCTTGTACACACAGCAAACTTTTACACACAGACGCTTGTACACACAGCAAACTTTTACACACAGCGAGCTTTTACACACAGAAGCTTTTTACGCACAGAAGCTTTTACACACAGACGCTTGTACACACGGAAGCTTTTACACACAGCAAACTTTTACACACACTTGCTCAGAAAATCTCAGAAACATCTTTGCGAATTATGATGTGGAATGCATCTTACGTGCAAAAAACACTCCAGTTAAACCTGACAGGAGACATTGGAAGATCAGGAGTGAGAAACTGTGCAAAGGAAATCTTTCAATGTCCTTGCTAAAAGAATTACATTGTTCTGATGCAGCTCATTCCAACTAAGCCAAATGGTGGCTTCCCTAACTTTGAAAACGACGTGCCAGTTCTAGGCTTAGCCGGTTGCCATTGACGATAAATTGGAAAATTGCAGGTACGCGGAGGTGATCAATCTCCGCTTCCCCCATTGTGGAATAGCTTCGTTGGCACAGGTATCCACAATGGGCCTGCGCCCCCTGGTCAAACGGTGTTTGAAATCGACCATTCCTCATAGCGAGAAAATCCCAAACCTAACGAACAAGAAAAAGCGACATCAACATGTAGAAGTTTTACATCTATTCAGATGTTTCACACACACACAAGCTTTTACACACAAAAGCTTTTACACACAAAAGCCTTTACACACAAAAGTTTTTATACACAGACGCTTTACACACAGAAGCTTTTACACATAGAAGCTTTTACACACGGAAGCTTTTACAAACAAAAGCTTTTTACATACAGACACTTTTACACACAAACGCTTTTACACACAAACGCTTTTACACACAGAAGCTTTTGCACACAGAACCTTTCACACACAGATGCTTTTACACACAGAAGCTTTTACACACAGACGCTTTACTTTTACACACAGGCCCTTTAACAGGACCAACCAAATTCGCAAAAAACACTCAGTTTTTCACACTCAAACCTCATTTCGTGCGAAAGGGTTGCCGCGGACACTTCAAAATCGCAATTTTACCTAAGTTTTGGACGATCGAACCTCCTTTTGTGCGAAAGGGTTGCCGCCGGACCAACCAAAGTCGCAAAAAAATCCTCAGTTTTTGACGATCGAACCTCATTTCGTGCGAAATGGTGGCCATTTCGTGGCGCCTCATCGGCACCGCCCGCGGCCTAAAGAGAGAAGAGAAAAAGTAGGAGAGAGACCGTGACAGAGGTGACAGAGGGCAAGGAGAGAGAGAGAGAGAGAGAAGGAGAGAGAGTGCCGATGTGAAGATGAGAAGATGTGATGAAGATGTGATGAAGATATGATGAAGATGTGATGAAGATGTGATGAAGATGCGAAGATCAGAAGATGTGATGAAGATGTGAAGATGTGAAGATGAGAAGATGAGAAGATGAGAAGATGAGAAGATGTGATGAAAATGTGAACTAATGAAGATGTATAGCAGACCTCCACTATTAGAAGAACCCTTCGCTCAGACGCTCTCTGGAAAAAGGTATATACAATATTGAAATATAATATGATATTATCATATGTGTTTTAGTTCAACAAAATCTAACAACATCCAGCAGTGGTCGCTGCCAGGGAACATGGCGCAAATGTCTGTGTTTTTGCCTTCGGTTCTCCAGGAGAGTTCCAAGCCAATATTCACCTGCAGCCGCAATTCTTACTCGGGCACTGGACATGTGTATATATCATTTTGTGATTCATCTCATGGTTGCTAGTATAATGATCATTGACTGACAAATGCAGTGTCAACTCCGGAACATCCTGGGAAGGCCGTCACTAAGCTAAACTTGCTCACCAAAAGCGGTCGTTCTGATGATCATCATCACAATCATCACGTCTATCTACGCACACACACACACGCATAGACATATGCATATACATATGCATATGATATACATATAAAATTTCATATACGTATACATATACACATATACACATACATATTACATATTACATATAAATGTACATGTACATTTACGTTTACATATACATATACATTACGTTTACATATACATATACATGTAATGTACATATATATATATATTCATGTACATGTACATATAATTACATTTGCATTTACATACATAATATGCATATACAAATATGATATTGCATATACATATACATATACCTAATATACAGTACACAATACACAATATACACAATACAAAATACATACAGTAAATTACAGTAATACAAAACGCATAATACAAGATACGTAATATACAATACATAATACATATTACATAAGACAAAACACATAATACACAGTACAGTAGCACAAGATACATAAGACAGAACACACAACACATAACACATACTACACACTACTTAATTTGACAATACATACTACATAATACATTAATATACGTAATACAGAATACATAATAAAATATAGATATACATCCCGGCAGGTGCGGAATCGTGCGTGTAATTAGTCGTAGACTAAGCACTTCAAAATGCATGATCCTTACAATGTTTTGTTCTTTGTCAAGAATCTTTTCAAGGGTCACCAAAAAGGTCAATTCTCTTGTTAATTAATCTCTGTGAAACCACAGCGCCACGCCATTTTACGTTGCAATGCTTGAGCTCACCCCATGGGGTCTGTACATCTTGGCAGTAAGATCCAATTGTTGGAGATCATGTCAGACATCTAAATGACCTGAATATAAAGAACGAAACATCACACAAACAACCAACCTCCCAACCTACCCTCTCCACACCGTAGAACAAAACAAGCTAAGTCAAAAAAGAATGAGAAAAAACTTAAGAGTGTAGCATCAAGAGGGTGTTGCCACTTACTTGAGAAAGTTAAGAAAGTAGCATCAAGAGCGTGCTGCCAGCTACTTCAGAAAGTTAAGAGCGTTGCATCAAGAGCATGCTGCCATTCACATGAGAAAGTTAAGAGCATAGCATCAAGAGCGTGTTGCAAGTTATATGAGAATATACGAGAAAGTTCAGAGCGTAGCATCAAGAGCGTGTTGCAAGTTACTTGAGAAATTTAAGAGCAAAACTCAAGAGCGTGTTGCAAGTTGCTTGAGAAAGTACAGAGCGTAGCATCAAGAGCGTGTTGCAAGTTACTTGAGAAAGTTTACTGCAGACCCTATCAAGTGTGTAATGCCAGTTGATGAAAATTAAGAGCGCAGAATCAAAAGCGAATGGGAAGAAAGCAAGGCAGCAAAAAAGTATCACACCCCCCACCCCACAACGGACACCCCACAAAATCTTAATGTGAACAACACATGAATATATCCTTCTTGTAAAAGATGCACATCACTACACGTACGGTTTTGCACCCGTTAGCCGTTAGCATGTGTATATATATATATAATTATTTATATATATGTATATGCGTGTACTTATACATGTACATATACATATACATGATTATACATGTACTACGAATTATACGCATAATACGTATACGTATACATATACATATACATATAGAATATAGATATACATATACAGTATTGACACAAGCCTAATAGCTGTAACAGCGAGCACGATTTAGAGCACATTTTTTTGCACGAGGGAGAGCACCAAAAAGATGAGACACGTATCAAAAAAAAATATAAATGCATCAAAAAAAAAATATCCAGCACGCATCAAAAAAAATATATATATATGCATCAAAAAAAAATATCCTGGTGCCACTGTGTGAGACCTCACGGGTTTCGTGCTGCAAACCTAGATCAAAAAAAAAATATCCGTATCAAAAAAAAAATATCGTCGTAGTAGTAGTAGTAGTAGCAGTAGTAGTAGTAGTATAGGAGTAGCAGTTGTAGTAGTAGTAGTAGAAGTAGTAGTAGTAGTAGTGGTAGTAGTAGTAGTAGCAGTAGCAGTAGCAGTAGCAGTAGCAGTAGCAGTAGCAGTAGTAGTAGTAGTAGTAGTAGCAGTAGCAGTAGCAGTAGTAGTAGTAGTCGTAGTCGTAGTCGTAGTCGTAGTCGTAGTCGTAGTCGTAGTCGTCGTCGTAGTCGTAGTCGTCGTCGTAGTCGTAGTAGTCGTCGTAGTCGTCGTAGTAGTCGTCGTCGTAGTAGTAGTAGTAATGGTAGTAGTAGTAGTAGTAGTAGTAGTAGTAGTAGTAGTAGTAGTAGTAGTAGTAGTAGTAGTAATGGTAGTAGTAGTAGTAGTAGTAGCAGTAGTAGGAGCAGGAGCAGCAGCAGCAGCAGTAGCAGTAGCACATAGGCACAAGTCTCGCTGGATATCAACAAAGATGAAATTAACCCAAATAAACGATGATGTTTATGCAAAAAGAAAGGAATAGTAGGTAGCAAGGGGAACCGGTTTAAAAATAAAAGCGGGTGGGGGGGTGCAGCGGGGAGGGCGCAGCGCCTCCCCCCGCAATGCGTACCAAGAGAGAAGCACATAGGCACAAGTCTCAATGGATATATTGCAAGTAAGAACGAGACGATCAAAAAAGAAGCACATAGGCACAAGTCTCGATGGATATCAGCAAAGATGAAATTAACCCAAATAAACGATGATGCTTATGCAAAAAGAAAGGAATAGTAGGTAGCAAGGGGAACCGGTTTAAAAATAAAAGCGGGTGGGGGGGTGCAGGGGGGAGGGCGCAGCGCCTCCCCCCGCAATGCGTACCAAGAGAGCAGCACATAGGCACAAGTCTCAATGGATATATTGCAAGTAAGAACGAGAAGATCAAGAAAGAAGCACATAGGCAGAGGTCTCGATGGATATCAACAAAGATGAAATTGACCCAAATAAACGATGATGCTTATGCAAAAAGAAAGGAATAGTAGGTAGTCAGGGGAACCGGTTAAAAAATAAAAGCGGGTGGGGGGGTGCAGGGGGGAGGGCTGAAGAGGGGCCCTAGCGTCTACTTTAAGATCAGCTAAGGCGTCTTCCCCAATGACAGCACTTGTTTTACTCAGCCTGTTGCCGGTCCGTGCTTGTCTACAGGGTTACTCTATATACCTCTTTCTTGAGCCTTGAAGGCGCATATAAATGTGCTCAATACTCATGCATGTGCCTATGTAGGTATTAGGTCGAAACAAAAACACAGGCACAAATTCAAAAGCAATGAGTAGAGCACTACGCCTTGCCGTACCCAATTGGTATTAAGAGTATCTTCCTGACTTCTCTACACAATGGCAAATAGCAAAAGAAACCGGAGTTACGCAGTGGCTTCGAATTGAAACACATGAAAGCAGCGAATGTCCTAAGGACATGTCGAAAAAGAACAGCGGATTCGCTAATTTTTCCAGTAGTGACCAATGGTGCTTCGCGCACGGTCTCTCCATAGGCAAAATGCCTCGCTCTACCGGTGAAGGTTCGAATTGAAAAGTTCGGGTTTGCAAGATTCAGAAATTCAGGTCATACGAAAAACAATTGACCAAATCACGAAATAAACGGAAATAGCGGATCTCCAAAGTTGCTCATTCAAGCAAACAATGGACTGAAATCGAAGTTGGTAATTTTTGGAGTTCGCTCCATTCGGAGTGGTCTGCTCGCCGGATGGTTCATGGAGATAAATGTGTATAGTATCTCTATTTACAAGAGTCTCTATTTTACATTAAATTGAAGTTCAGACACTTGTGGCATTATCTCTATCTAAAAGAGTATATGCCATCTGTGTGAAATAAGTTGATGCACAGAAAACTGTACACTGCCTCTCATGCTGTGTTATCTTCATTTAAAGAAGTGTACACTCACTTATAGCCAAAAGCTTGTTCTCCATGGTCTGGACGAAGAAGATGAGGATCCACCCCAACTAGCGTTGCCCTGATACGTTGATGCTTGATCTTCATATGCCTTTCTCTTTTTCTCCTTCTGTCTTTCCTTCCTTGTATCTGCATACTGATTCTTCTTGAAGGAATGTTTGTAATGATGTCGTTCATTCCATGACATATCAGAAGGATCAAGATGGATAAGAATTGGATTGTGAGCATCACGATCATTTGGGGCAACCATGAAGATGTTGTGATCACCATGTAAGCAAGTTTCATTTACCTTGAAGTAAAATTCACCCACATAGTTCATGTGATCTTCGTCTTCGTAGTCTTCAAGGTGTTCCTGACACATCAAACGTGAATGACCCCACTCAACAACTGTTAACATACAACAATCACCTTTCCCATTTGTCTTGTTCATGAGCTCGTCGGTGTCTGTTGCTGTTGTAATGCCATCCAAGTGTGTTGCAAGAAAATCCAAGTCACGATAACTGCAAGAAATGAAATGCTTGACCCTGATTGGAGGGCAAGATGAATCAAAATACTTGCGCATGGCTTGTGTTGCAACACCTACCATTCTGTTAATCCAGAATTGGATTAGGCTGTGTTGATATGTAGGGACGCCTGGAGATTTTGGTGTGCTGTAATAGCATGCCTTGTTTCCATCACCTGCGATGAAGTCAACTTGATATCTGGCACACTCAAAAGCCATAACAGCTAAGCACTCACCAACAATCCCAGCAGAGTCTGATGCATACTTCTGTCCGACGTGATAAACGCATACACGTGTCATCCTCATCCTAGCTCTTGTCAAGTCAACAATCTCATTTGTATCTCGGTCCTTTGTCTTTCCCCAAGATACTTCGAAGATTGCCCATGAGACTTGTCGAACTCGTGTGTCGTTGTCATCTGTTTGATATCCAGCAATTTGCTTGATATAGCCATCCTTTCC